AAAAAAAGAGCATGATTGAAGGTGTAATAGTTTTTAACAAGCTAACATTTATTTAGGTTTATGAAAACCACTCTGTTGGACACAAGCAACATCTAATGATAATAGTATTTATTGTTTCATTGGTTTTTGCTATTATTTTATTGTATTACAAGTATTTTTTATACTTAAGTGTTGTTTAAAGTCTCTGTTTTTGTTTACACCTTAGGTCACAGAGAAGTCTATGCAGACTGACAATGTGTACATATCCCCCCAACTGACATACATTGAGTGTGAACATGATTATGCTTTTTCATTTACTGATACACCAAAGAATCCATCTGAATACCAGCAGAGTATGGAGGAAAGATTAGAAGTTATGACTGAAATGTTAAACAACCTTAAAGTTAAAGTGGGAATTCTTCAAAAAGAATTAGATGAGTATAAAGAAAGAGAATTTGATCTCGTACGTTATTTCGTGGTCACTTTTGGTGTTCGAAATCAACGATATCAATGGCTGTTCTTGTTTTGAAACGTTGTCAGGCTCGACGCAGACCACTTTTCTTTGATAAATAGCTTGACATCTTAGGGTAAGATCAGCCTTCTTGCCGCCACATGGCTGGTTTTCTCCTTTCAATAATTCTCTCAAATCTTTCACTGTAAGCTTTTGAAAGTCCTCTATCTTCTGAATTGTGTCCATCAGGCAGCCTTCGTCACATTTTTTGACCTAAATATTTACTACAAAGAGCTCTTATAAGTTAAAAAAATCAAGATTTTTACACGCTCACACTTGGTTTGTTTGTACACTACAATGATATGATACAGGGTTAGCCTCGTTTTCACGCTTGACAGTATCTGCAAACAATCGAACAGCGGTTATCAGCACAGAACGCGAAACTGGAGTATTATTCAAAAAATCACCTTAATTCATATTTTGCAACGCCTCTTGACCTTGCTTGACTGTGATTGCATGAACTGCTTCCAATGAAGCAGTCGCCAAAGATTTATAGCGTATGTAGAATCTTATATAGATAATTTTTTTTATATAATCTTAGCGCTATTTGAAAGCGAAGTAGCAATTAGAAATTCTCAACTGTGTTCTTAGACGCAACAATTTTAATTCCCCTGCAAGGTGGAAAGGAGTGAATCTGTGATGTAGCAAAACTTCCAGACATCCTGGCAAAATAGTTGCAAAAGTATTCAATTTTGAATTTCTGAAATAATTTTGATATGGCAAAATCTTCAAACTTCTTCGCAAAAGACGAAAGTATTTCCAATTGGGCCTCAGACTGACCAAAAGGTCTCTGATGTATGCCGGCCTTCGTAACCAGTCCCCTCTCTTAACTATGGTTTGCGTCCTTGTGCAAAGGAGTGAAGATCAGAACGTTGGCGACTTAAAGCTGTGATTACTGGCGCTTTAAGTTGAATATGTTAAGCGGAGAGTTTGATTCCACGTATAAAGGCGTAAAGATCAGAACGTTGGCGGAAACTTCGAAGTTAACAATTTTCAGATGTTTCTGATGTTGATATGCTGGTCCTCATAGCTGAAAAACAACACAGCTTTGCCAACCTTCCGTGATTCCGATCAAACAAGCCATAGATTTGCATATAATGCGCTTTTGATCATTATATGTTAAAAAGCGCACTATAAAGTAATAAATTATTATTATTATAATAAACTTATTCGTCGTTATTTGCGCCCCTTTTGAATGACAAATAGTTATTATCAAGAGGCTAAAAAATCAAAGAAAGAAAAGCCCTCTAGAACTCTCTTTATTTCGTAAATCCGCCAAAAAGACAATACCAAATAAAACCGGATTATTTTGTTTTTCAAACATGTCGAACACATCTCGGTGATGTAGATGCTGACGTAATAGAATAGTTATGTCCTAGAATTTACTGAAATTTTCTTGTCGTAAGAAGGAAACAATTTGAAGCGAAAATACTGATTAAAAAGCAAAATGTCACCATACCTGAGGTATTTGATGCATCGAAAAACATGAGGCTTGTGTTTAGAACAAGACAGTGCCAATTCGTTAAAATAAAATACTTTGTAGATAGAGAGAAAAAGTGTTTCATCATAGTTATTTGAAGCAATATGTCATGTCCAATATCGTGTGAATTAAACGAAGTGTTTATGTGTACGCCTCGATGGCGAAAAATAAAAGGAATTGTTTTAATGGTTGAGGGAGTCGCAGTTTGCAATTTTTTTAATTGTCATCAAGAATTACGTTTACTGATTCATTTCCATTAAGATAACCGTTCGGTCACTGTCCAGCTGCGGACAGTGAAGCAGTCAATAGTCCCACAGTACACCTGTATACTAACGGTAAGCTCCACCGTTCACTTTGCACTCGTTGCCGGTCAAGTGATTTGACTGAGCAAAAGTTTCGGGTTCGGCTGCAAGAAAAACCTCATATGACTTAATCTGTAATGGTATTGTTAATTGTATTATCTTCTTCTGGATTATCAGCTTGTAAATTGCACGTTTTTATGAATACTACGTTCCCACAAACCACCCAGGGTCATTTTAAGTTAGAGTAAAACCAGAATGAAAGTGATTGTCATTTCGGTCTAGTTGCGTATAAATTGATGGTAATTTTGAGCATGCGATCGAATATAAAGAAGACTCAAGTGAAAGAAAGATTCTAGCATTGTGATTTTAAAAGATTATTGTTATTGCTCTCAGAGTAGAGATGCCGGCGGGTTCCACACTAAATTTCGAACGTGATTTATGTAACTTTTATTGTTCAACAGGCTTGAAGAAGAAAATGGCTATCACATTTTGGACCACTCGTAATTGTATTTTGGCAACGACATGACAAAGCTTTGCCCAAAACATTCTTGAACCTTCGCCTCTAAAATCTCATGCGTCATGTAGCCTGATTATGCGTACGGGACTCATCAGAGCAGAAAGATAATTCAGGTCTTTTTTTACAAACCTGCTTTAGCAAGTTTGCACACCAAACATCGACCAATGCTCTTAACGTACACGTGAAGTAGCTTTTACTTCAAGTCGTGTCAGACTTAGAATTAAAAAGTAGCGGACTTCCTTCTAATGCTGTAACTTCTTGGGAGTGAAAGAACATCCAACGCAACACAGACTTTGCTTCAAAAGTTGTTCTTGTATGAATTGCTTTTGTTTAGAAGCCACGATTGCTAAAGATCGAATGAAGTCCATAAATGATATAGAATAAGCTATGCCACCTTTGGCCCCACGTAGTTATTTTGTTCGGAGACTGTAACCTTACATTGGTAGATCGATACATGGAGGGCTTTACGGATTAGCAAACCATGGCCTCCAGGTGAAAAGAAACTTTCTCGAAAGCTACGAACAAAAAATCGAGCAATAAAGTTCAAAATTAGAAAGGTTAACCCATAAAAGTCCATTTTTCTACTCTCATGTCACCCAAGCTTGGGTGCTTTTATTTCTTCAGCATTAATGCTAATTCTTCAGCCAATATTGACTACCTCCTTTGGTGATCAGTTTATCCAATTTTAAAATGTTGCGGCAAATTATACAAACCTATGCATTCGAAAATCAACTATTAAAAATGATTCTTTGCGATTAGACTCACTTGTTCTCTCGCTGGCAAAGTCACTCTTACAGCATTGTCTGAAGAGAAAAAACATCTAGAATTACCTCGAAAGAAAATATTGTTTCCATCGCCTGAGGGCATGAAAATTGTCTCTACGTGTTTGCTGTGCTGACGCCAGGGTACAAGTGAATTGTTCTTAATAATGATTTGAGTAAATGAAACGTGACTGCTTTATTTTCACGTTTGGTCCGTTCTCAAGGTTATTCATCTGTTCATCTCCGTAATTATGTTCGTCGTTCATTTTTTATGATGAGAGCTTTTCCTATTCTGTATCTCGNTGGTAAGGTAGAGTAACTAAAAAATGACAAGGGACTAGGATGGCAAAGAAACATTTTATAAGATTGTCTTGTACCGTGAACGACCTTTAAAAATTCAGGCTTCAGTTTACAAGTTCTGCAGACCGTGACGGCAGCTACTCGGGTGTTTTTAGGGAGTTTTGTTCAGGCTTGACCCACAGTTATTTCAGTTATTTCCGCAGTTTCATATATCAAAGCTAAAAGACGATTAAGTAAGGAAGGCACAAGTACTTGTTTGCGTTTCGAAAGTTTGAACATTTCGTAACTGATGTTTATCGCATTTCACAGGCCTCACCGACGTTTTAATTTGGTAGCATTCTTCACAAACGTCTACTTATTTCGCAACAACTTTCCAATTCATCTAGATTACCAGTTTCAGAAATTGTCATTTCGGCCTAGTTGCGTATAAATTGATGGTAATTTTGAGCATGCGATCGAATATAAAGAAGACTCAAGTGAAAGAAAGATTCTAGCATTGTGATTTTAAAAGATTATTGTTATTGCTCTCAGAGTAGAGATGCCGGAGGGTTCCACACTAAATTTCGAACGTGATTTATGTAACTTTTATTGGTCAACAGGCTTGATAAAGAAAATGGTTATCACATTTTGGACCACTCGTAATTGTATTTTGGCAACGACGTGACAAAGCTTTGCCCAAAACATTCTTGAACCTTCGCCTCTGAAATCTCATGCGTCATGTTGCCTGATTATGCGTACGGGACTCATCAGAGCAGAAAGATGATTGTTTTTGTGGTCTTTTTTTACAAACCTGCTCTAGGAAGTTTGCACACCAAACATCGACCAATGCTCTTAACGTACACGTGAAGTAGCTTTTACTTCAAGTCGTGTCAGACTTAGAATTAAGAAGTAGCGGACTTCCTTCTACTGCTGTGACTTCTTGGGAGTGAAACGAACATCCAACGAAACACAGACTTTGCTTCAAAAGTTGTTTTTGTGTGAATTGCTTTTGTTTAGAAGCCACGATTGTTAAAGATCGAACGAAGTCCATAAATGATATAGAATAAGCTATGCCACCCTTGGCCTCACGTCGTTATTTTGTTCGGAGACTGTAACCTCACATTAGTAGATCGATACATGGAGGGCTTTACGGATTAGCAAACCATGGCCTCCAGGTGAAAAGAAACTTTCTCGAAAGCTACGAACAAAAAATCGAGCAATAAAGTTCAAAATTAGAAAGGTTAACCCATAAAAGTCCATTTTTCTACTCTCATGTCACCCAAGCTTGGGTGCTTTTATTTCTTCAGCATTAATGCTAATTCTTCAGCCAATATTGACTACCTCCTTTGGTGATCAGTTTATCCAATTTTAAAATGTTGCGGCAAATTATACAAACCTATGCATTCGAAAAT